ATATATATATATATATATATATATATATATATATATATATATACATGCATACATACATACATACATACGTACATATATATATATATATATATATATATATATATATTGTACGAAATGTAAGTATATTGAAGTATATAAGAAAGTGTAGATGTCATAGGTACATATGATATAAAGACATACAAATATTCATGTACATATTAAATATAGATCAGTAGTCTTATTGAAGCTGATTATTGAATTTTTCCCGGTGTCGTGTTGTGATTAGTTTAGTCTATAAGGCATGATACTAAAAAAGTTAGAGGCAAATTAACCAAAGATACATTGAACATAATCATTTGTATCATCACACACTCCAATGTATGGTTTGCATTAAAGAAAGATAATTTCAACACATATACGAAACGTTCGACATTGTATGTGCTAATAACATGTCTTGTAGGCCACAATGAAATAAGATAAGCAGCTAATACATAGTATATCCTCGACTGCTGTTTTAAATCGCGGCTACTATTCACGAACACACCCGCCATGGGAATAAATTGAGAAATGATACATTTTAAATGAACATACCGATCTCCTCTGCGTGTTTCGTTTTACCAGCGATACGCCTAAAGTGGCAGGGGAGGCCTCGGAGCCCTCCGTTGACAATGCCACAGTCGTGCACTTGTCACACACCATCGCCGATTGCCCAGAAACGAGTACAGTGGTTTGTGTCGAACGGCAAAGATACTGAGCGTAGCCCGTTTCTAAAGTATTTGGATATAACGGTACACTTGTGTATACTCAGAATTGTGTTTAAAACTGTGTGACTAATGTAACATACGAGTGGTCAGTTATACGGAATAATTGCCTAACACCAACTTATATCCGGTATGACGGTCCACTGTGAAAATGAATGCTTAACAATATTCAAAGAACGTAATCAGCATATAAAGTTACGTTCTATAGTAGGCAGAACCTCATGGTGATGTTCCTTTGTGTACTGTTTGTCTGTAGATAATTGTCAGCGTGTGACTGACCTGCAACGAGCGCACTTCTTATGTTTCAATAAAAGTCGGCAAGTGGTCAAACTCGCACACAAGATGAAACGGAGGTGACCTCGGATTGTCACTTGGTACTAGACTCTGTGTTGATCATATAAATGCTATCACAATAGTGTAGAATACACTGAAACGAGAAGACTTAATCCTCGAATACCTCTACGATATAGCATATAGTACCGTGATTTTGAAAGTGATAATTGGTGTCAAAAAAAAAAAGGTCTATATATCAACGTCTCAAAAATGTTAGTCAAAATCGACACCGACAGGCGACAGTTGACAAACGACAGCCCCATTACAGTTTACACCGACACATTCGGATGATTTCTTCCATCACAAATTCCACACAGTGATTCTGACTGATTGATTCACTACACTCAAGAATTGAAATAGCCAGAAGGGAGTATTTAGTATGAAAAGTACCTGACCAACACAATCAAGTCTCCGACACAGCCGCATCGCAGATTAGCCATTTCCCAATTCCCATATGATGACACTGCGGAGCCCGAAGTAGGGGCTTAAATGGGCATTGAAGCATCTTGTACCCAATCAAATGCAGGCCTGAACCGATTTTAGGTACTTCCACTCAGTAAATGACACTTGCTCCGATTTTACCCCTGTTTTGGCATTTGAAATTCGCATAGTCAATGTTTTTTATACAAGTGTGTTTTATTTCAAAATTTGATGTTCCTGGAAATATGTGTGTTTTATTTCTCATCTGAATCCTTCATCACAGATTGAGAATTGAGAACGTTATATTGGATTGAAATATATAGGAATAAAACCGACGTCGAGAAATAAAAGCGGCTTATTTTTATTACAATTTCAGACCGTTGGAAATTAATCCAAAGTTTTGTGTCAGGGTTGAATTTCATCACTGACTCACACAACACAGTTCGATTTATCATAAATCCCATTTCAGTGGTCACAACTTGTAGACTTTAATGTGATTTGTGGACTATAGATTACTTCTGTTTGTGAGTGCGCTTGATGATTCTGCTATTCAACCAATTCAATTAAAGGCTCTGGTATTCGACATAAACAAAGAAAACCATTGGTACTAATATTTTCAGACTTAGAATGAGCGTTCAATTGAGCTGTCACTTGGAGACTTGGAGTTGTCGTCTTCATAGCCTTCTTGTCAAAAACCCACGTCACTTCTCACTTCTCGCCATTTTGTTGACTACAAAAAAGTAATCGCAGCGGTTTGAGCTCAATATATATGTTGTACCAAAATAGGCTCCCCCGAAATAAGCGAGTGACGTTTTCTATTCTTCTGCTTATAGCTCTGTAAAAGGCTGGGTGAGAGTCTGTGACCCTGTAGAGGATACACGGTCTCTTACGAATATATCATAAAAATATATATATGAACATAGCTACAAATATATGTTCAAGCAGGACGGACAATAATAGGTTCGCAATAAGGGATTGACACGAATCGACTCTATCAAGGTATGTTAGATCTACATGTATATATGCTGTAGCGGTTTCAAGGTATATATGCTGAAACCGAATGCTGTAGCGTGTGTTAGCACGTTCGTTAGGATTCTTCGGTTTCAGGGTACGCTTGAAGTCTCCAGCTGTTAGACCACTATCTACTTCAACGGTTACAGTATTTCATAATTGTACTTGTTAGAAGGCATTGGTGTGCATAGAAAAAACTCAAGAGTACACTCAGAAATAGAAACAAAACTATTATTATCTCACACACATAATCAAAAGAACACACTGCAGACATGCGCACGCGAACGGGCGCATGCCCACACGGTCACACATGCAAGCACAAGCTCGTCTGTACAAAAATGATAGCCCACAGAATCACGTCTATATGATATATATATATATATATCTATATCTATATCTATATCTATATTTATACCTACATATATATATTTATACATTGTATATAATAATGTATAT